TCTCTGCCCCCTCTCCATAATCCATTAACTCTGTCTCAGACATGGGGAATATAGTCCCATTTGTGCACACCCTTGTTGAAATATCGTGCGATGCAGACAAACAGTACGAGACCACTTGTTACACTGCTGATCCTCATGAGCATTTGCTCTACAATTTATGTCAGTTTCCTTGCTTGCCCACAGATGCCACATTTCCACGTTTGGTACCACATCGGCCTCCCAGGTATAACAGGAAGGATTTTTGTTTCTTTGCATATCAGTTGATACTAATAACTACATGGTAAGCGATGCCGGCCCGGTTGCAGCGTGTCCACAGTTAGATTTGGGCTAATCTGTGTGGCAGGAAACGTGGTGAATACGTGTGAAATTATTCAACAATATAGCTTTGCTCCAGAGTGGCATGGTGGGAAGCAATAAAACTGCACAACTGGCTAACCCACAAACTAGCTTCGGACAAAGAAGGGTGTAGTGTCAGACTCACTTTGGAGTTGTTCTTTTTGCCACTGCTTAGCAGATTTTTCTGAACGGTTAAACTGTACGTTGTCCTCTGTGTGAAACCATGAACGTCTGAGTTCACACATTCGTTCATACATTCTTAAACGGTTCAACTACTTCGTTGTCCATTTGTTCGAAAAGGTTCGATTAGGAAACGAAACAATTTTTAGCTTTCCATATGTATCACATCCCCTGAGTTATCAAACTCGTCTTCAGGTGCATTGGAGTTAATCAACGCCAGAGGAATCTGAACAACCCAACTATTCTAATCTTCACGTTCAATTCACCATTACTTGAGTAGTATTTGAATATTGATGTGTACAATCATTGAGGCGCATCAGTTTACCCCCATCCGGCCCCCAACACAACTATCTCATTTTAATCCAATTGATGAAAACGGACAATCTGCACAATTTATACAGACCAGTTGCCAACCTCGAGTTTTTCTTAACTGCAGACATCACATCGCTATTTCATTTGAACCGTACAAGGACAGTTCGTTCCAGTGATGTGCGTCACATGCAAATCAGAGTTCTATGGTTTTCTCTCTAGTCTTGACAAAAAGCCTAACGATAAACTATATGTGCGTATCACTGGGTTGAGTTTCTGCACTGTGACAAACAAATCACGGTAAAACAAAGTTGATATAAAATGTCAGTCTCTGTAATGATAAAGCAGTTAATTTGATGAAGTGATTCAAAACTGTATCCTTTAGTCAGCCAAAATCTAACCCACAAGGCGGCAGGGAGATTTGTGAAAATCGCGACTGATTGGGGCGGGGGGGGGTGGTGTCTAGTGCATCGAATAATACGCCCTTTGGACGAAGCTGAAAGTGTCGAACAATGCCCAATACATCTTAGCGACCCAATCACGCTAGTAACTATTGACAGAACAAGATGTGTGTGTAATTCATGTGCTTTGTATTGCCTACCTAATCAGGGTTCTTCACCAACTTTCTGAAGTGAACTACAAGTGTTTCATCAACCCGGCTGTAGCTATGTATGTTTGCTTTTTGTCCTCTCACTGTGGTGAGAAAACCTCTCTGTCATGTCAAGACTGTAAGCATAACTCCCTTAGCACAGACCATTTGAGACGGTTGTTTGTACAGGAAAATTTGGTCAGGTGCAAAAGTGGGGTGACCAGTCACAGCCCTAGACACCCTTGCCGACTATATTGAGGGTTTCACATCTTGCTGTCACTATATGTTGTTTAAACCTGGAAGTATGTATATTTGTTAAATCCATGTTTATTTACTAAAATGTGACTTACAGAATGAGTCTGTCGATAAATATGTCCTCCGATCTGGATATTTTAGAAAATAAACAACATATATAGTCCACATTCGGTCTCGCCGAGTTTCATTCATTATTCAGAAGAATAAAATCCGATATCATGCGGTACAGTTCTGAAGTGTACAAAAATCAATGCAACATAGTCGTGCGCAAATACTTTGTGACTGTTCATTTTAATCGTTCCACCCGACAGGAATTATTTGTTCACTGTGGCTGACACTTCCGAACCATATGAGATCAATCTGTTCGGAACACGACATGTGGTCTTACCTATACGTGATTCAGATAATGTGGCATTCGGATTGATCGATATTTACGGGAGACCAATGAATGAACATCATGCGTGTCAAAGCTCGGAACAGGAACCGGAACGATTGAACACATTGCTTGGAATTCTCAGCGTAACGTCTCGAGAGCTGATGCACAAAACTGGAACCGAAATAGTCAATCTTCCCCTTGGCTTGGATGAGTCAGAAACGGGTGAAACTGAACTGGAACTGAAACCAGACGACAAAACGGATGCCGTGGATCCGTTCAAAACCGAGGCCGCATTTGAACGACTTGTACTGGCTGAATTTCACAAAGCTTGTTGCTCACTGACTGATGAGGTAAGTTAAAAACTGCCGGGTAAAAAGGTCATGTAATCGATAAGCGGAGTTCGGTCATAAAATTGTCACCATACTGATCCTGAGTGAAAACAGTGATTGATAATTCTTTTTCTAAATTCTAGGGATGTTGCATTTTCGATTGATTAAAAAAGATAACCTCACAAATTGCGTTCATTATCATCGTGTCTACCGATCTCGTTAAGTCCTGTCAGACTTTGAAATCGCGGTTTCCGATTTGTATGCAAATGGGATGTGGCTGTGTCTCAACTCATGTGGTCAATTACTTTATTGATTCGTGTTCAACACAACACAAGGATGTTTATATGGATCATCAACCTTTCCTTCCTTAACTTATCAATTAGTCAGCGGGGCGGATATCCGAATGGGAATAACCAAAAACGGTGTAATGTACCGTGTTAATCGCTCTGAAAACCGAAATTATCCTCCCTCAACAATGCTACCATTGATAATGTTCCCAGCTGGTGGGCTAAAATGGAAAATCTCAACGAAACTTTTATGCTGAATGAAGACATTTGTAACGATTCCTTTATGTCCATGAGTCTGTGTTGCAACAGTTCGGTTTTTCCTTCTATGAGGTATGGAGAACGACAGTAAGGGACGAAAGAGAAACAGATTACTGTTTTTCAAAGGCTTCCCCCTCCATTCATCAGTTCACAAATCTGGCGTGACAAATAATACCGATACCACCGGATATATTTCCCGAGGTAATTTTTTTGATAGGACAGGAACGTGTCGAAAGAAGTACACTGAGGGCCGAACTGTCGTGAATGTATAAAAATCTCGACCGATGGATTCAGTCTATATGTTACAANTTACAAATCTTCCCAGTGGCTAACTCATGGAACAGTCTACTCACTTATTAGAAACATAAGCTAATATATTAATTGCGTGTCTTGGGTTTTTGGCAATCGTATATACATATATATTACTTGATTAACATGTATAACCAGTTGCAAGAACCGCAAAACCGGTCGTGTTTCCAGGGGAATATTGTCAAGTCCCTCATATACTACTTATTGTAATGTTTATATATTCAATCTCTGCTCACGTCTAATTTACCTGTTTTCTTCACAATATTCAACTGTTACCCTAATTTTAACTCATAATTCTTTAATATGCCATGTGGGTAGCCAAAACCTGATCANTGTGGTTAATGATTTTCCAAGCTAAAGATGCATTGATTTTATTGTGTAAAATCGGAACAAAGCATCTCTCTCTTACTCATTTTCTTGTCACCTAAATAAATCATACATTAAATGTGATTTATACGTCGCCCATGGGTTTTCGGTATTCTTCAATCAATAAGACACTTATCAAGTTCTGTGTAACAAGGCTGAGGTAATAGTTGTCGGTGCCCGATTCCCCCTCAACAATTAATGCTAGCCAATTCGATTTAGCTACTTTAACTTCTTTTCTATTACGCGGCTGAGACAGACAACTTATTTGCATGTCCATGTGTGTGCACAACATCCAATCAGCAACAAAAAGCGTTTCTTTTCACATTCGAATTTACCNGCATGTGGCATCCACCAGTTAGCATGTAAGCTGACTGCCCCGACAGGTTTTCTTTAGAATTCACCGGACTCCACCGAATGAGCTTCTAAGACAAGGTGAATTGTTCAAATAGTTGTTTGGCAGATTTGAAGTTTGTATGTCGATTGTGAAAAGTTCAGTAGCCTCGGTGGGATTCGAACCACGCATGGACGCCGCCTACGCTTTGTACGCGCATGCTCTACCAGCTGAGCTACGAGGCCACACCGATAGCACTGATCTTTTCACATTCGAATCCCACCGAGGCTACTGAACTTTTCACAATCGACATACAAACTTCAAATCTGCCAAACAACTATTTGAACAAAAAGCGATTCATCATGTCCGTTGTACTCGACTAAATCCGATCTAAGCAAATCACTTCATGGTCACCTCAGACTCGAGCATTTTGTGTTTTGTGCTACTGAAAAGATGAGTTCATCTATAAGGTCCGGGTGGGTAATCAGACCTTTTACGAATAGTCCGTCCCGCATCCCAGTTTCCGTTCTCGAAAAAAATTATGAAAACGTTAGCAAATCGATTTTTTTCTAGGAGATAACCTAGCTTAGTTTCTCCAAACTAAAATGTAATTTCTCATTGAATTACCATGAAGAACAAAAGTACTTGAACCGTGCTTAGGAAAATGTATCGTATAACAAAACATGATTAACAGGCTGCCTATAGATTAGACAAGACAAGGTCACGCGTGAACCGTTATTTTCTTGAACTGATCAGCGGGATAAAAAATGTCATACTGCACATTCACGCGCACTGAGTACAATAACTTCACGGAAGTATGTATCTTTAACTTTGCTCTTGGCCGTGCTCACCCAGCACACAGTTAGTGCTTAGCCTTAAAATTCACATTTTTTGCTTCCGCCTCTCAGGTATTTGCTGAGTTGTCAACCTATACTGAACCCCCTTCGGTGATTGTCGAAATTGTGGACGCATTCTTCTCCCTGGTGGACCCTGAGAACCAAGCAATCGAACGCTGTCACACAGAACAATGGAACGAATATCGTTCCATCCTGATGGACGTGAATTGGCACGATCGAATTGACTATTTCGATCCGAATAAACCGTATGTGGAAATCGTCCTGAAAAAAATAGAACACTTATTTTCAGGTAAGTCGGTCCCCGCGAATCATGCAGGGTAATATAAGATTGCAACAATTATCTGTGTGCAGGAAACAATGAATCAATCCAATTGTATTCGAACAGATTTCATCTTGGAAGGAATAAAGTTGATCAAGCCATTGATGATAGTATCACCAAGTAGGACTAGTTGAATGGAACAAAATTGCTTTTACAGTGATCCTTCGGTACTACGTGCAAATTTTCCACTCTAAGTATTGGTGAGAAGATAATCTTAAATTTGGTTTCCGTATTTGATGTTAAACAAACACGCATTAGAGACCTATCCATGATTGATCAAATTCAAGTTTGGTTCTTGTCTCACTCTGTTTGCTCATCTTGGAAGGGGGATGAATCCACGACGAACACGACCATAATTAGGGACGTTTATTCGATTCACGTTATTATCTACTTTTCTCCTTTTCCGTTAACCATCTTGTTTCTACCCAAACATTACTTCACGAACTGTTAACAGCACGTCCCCGTCATTCTGCCTCCGAGACAACGTGTATGAATCTATATATGCATTGTGATGTCAGGTAGGTAGGAACACCGACTATAGCTTACTCTCACGAATTAACCGCCGTGCAACTGGTTCTTTGATAATGGCACGGAACAACGGTACACGTGTAAACAGACCACTCCATATATTTTGTGTGCTATTTCGGCTGTACGTGCGTGACCATGTGACAAGGAGGCTGACTAGTCATTATCAGCAACACAGTTATCTGTTCTATGGAGCGAAGTTAGTCACCCCATGACACCGTAGGGTTTTCAAAATGCAAGTGACTTTGGGATCACGGAACTGTTTGACTTGGGCACGGGGTAACTTCCGAGGAAACGATTGGAGCTAATGAGTCAGCCATTTGCCCAATGACTTCCGTAGTACCTAGCCTGGTCATGCGATCAGATTCATTCAGACATAGGTGAAAATATTCAATAATCAATATTTATAATGTGATGTGTTCAATAAATGGTAAGTCCTTTCATCGCCAGAAGTTACCTAGAATACTAATCTACCATAAGTTATAACCATAAAATTGGAAACTACCGATCACATAAAATCCTGATAGAAAAACCGTATCATACCAGACATTACGGATTTAGCACTTCTCGGGGACCAACACATGTGTATCCACTTTTCTTCCCCGTTACACTCGAGTCTTTCAGGTAAACGGTTATTTCGTCTGACCTTTAACCATTCATGATTGATGATCCCTTCCGATTCGTAAGCTCTATATTCCAGCCAAATAATCACTTTAATCAACCAAAAACGAGACCAGATTACCTCAGGAACCTACGTCTGTGGGTGCAGTTATTCAATAATCACTCATGGCTTTCATCGTTGAAAAATAATTGCGTTTAAACAGAGTTGTTCCCTCATCAGATCGTGTTCGACTGAATTGCCTTTCAGCACTAATACGCCATAGGCGATCTAATATTCTCAACAGATTAAACAATTTGGCACAGTGCCAAATCTATGGACGCCCACGCTCCTAATGCGAAACACAACGAATAAGTAAATTAACAGCCCACATAAAGAGATAGATGTCATGCTCTGATTGCCAGTAACCTTTTTCGTTCCGTTTTGAGGGAAACATGAATATCAGATTCCATTGAATAATACTGCGGTGCACCACATGAAAATAACCCTACCATCCGGGAACTCAGGTACAGAAACTTGCCTCGCATTCTGATTTGCTCTAACAGTCATCCCCTAATAGATAAGATTACCGTGCAGATAGTAAATAACTAGTCTGACAAAACATATACTCAGTCTCACACGGTGGAGTAATTATTGGGGTCAAATGTTTAGATAATAATTACAACCAGTGTATGGCTATGGCTAGTGACGAACGATTCTCCGCTAAACAACTGCTGGGAAATACCCACATACCCAGCTGTTATCTATCATCCACAACCAGCTTTTATGTCTGCACAATTAGTGATCTTAAGAACGGGAATTTTTCGGCCTACTTCCGTGTAGAGCTGCTGGTCAAACAATATCGAATCCAACCGGGGTTCAACAATCCCATAACCTTTTCTTTCGGTTTTCATCGCTGGTCACATTTATTCACATACACCCTGAAAATCAGAATCAATAAACTTTGGTGATCCGGAAATCTGGTAAACTAAAACATTCTCAAACAGAAATTATGCATCAGTATCTGGTTATTCGTTGGCCACCTTTAAAGAATACTCATCAAAAACATTTGGTACAAACGTATTCAGTTTAGCGTGCTGTCGATGATCTGGTTAAGCCGTCGGAGAACAGCAAGCGACAACATTTGGGTTTGCATGTTTCTCTGGTGGCAAAGTCCTGATGTACTGTTCGCCCTTTTGTCCTCGAGCGTCATACGTTGTAAATGGTTTCATTCACATAAAATCGTGAGCCGGGACTACCGCCTTCCTTTTCACCACATCGCGAACCGAGCTCGTTTCTGTTTGACGTCTTCCTTGTTTTTTTTTCAACCGGCTCGATGCACACGTTCAACATGTACGCATAACCGTTAAGATGATTATCAGACGGGTTAAACTAATGGGTGGATTCGGGGAAACCAGTTCCATCTTTCTCGCGATTTCAATCGGGGAGACCATAAGATTTTGGTTTTCTCATGACGAATTCATTCGAAAGTTTGCGGTTCGCGAACACATCAGTGTATCATTCGAGCAGGCGTTCCAATGTTAGAATTCTTTGTGCACGTGTCAACACCATATAACGAAACAGTAATATCCAAATGCGACGGAAATGATTGTGATAACCTACAAAGAGCACTGGACAGCTGTTTCATCCTCTTTGGGACTCGTCAGCAGTGCGTACTTTTTTCCCTATTAGGACTCCAAAAGCGAACATTCGGGTCGGGACTTTAAACCCTTACTCCTGAGCTACACGGTCCATGGTCACCACCTTGTGCGAATGGCTCAATCAATTTAGAGTATCAAGCTTGATTAACCCATTCGATTATTCAGAGGTACCAAGCACTCTTGAAGGTCTTGGGTTCGAGTCCTGACAGGGACACAAAAGTACGCACTGCTGACGAATCCCAAACAGGACGAGACAGCTGTGCCATAGCATTTGTCGGCTATTACAAACATTTCTATTACATTTGAATGCAATACTTTGTGGGGAATTAACGATCTACCAACTAACAATCTACCCACACACAAGTCCATCAAGAGTGCCTGGTGCTTCTGAGCAAACCAGTGGGCTAATCCAAGCGTGATACTCTTAAACAATAATATCCTTTATTTTGCTCGTATGTTAATAAGTGGAGCAATTCTCATTACTGAATTGGAAAATTATCTACCACATTAGCTTTCTATTGTTTGTTTCTTTTTCATTTGATCAACGTTTGTTTTTCTACGTTCGATGTTTTCTTCTATTTAACTTACTGAAAGTGCTAAAAGTCCACTCTGTTGTGTGCGAAAAGCTTAACTTGACTTAGATTCACTTTTAGATTCCCCTATGTCTCTTTGCTTGACAGCTTCACTGGCTTTGATGCTGATGTGATGATAAACAGATTTCAGATCATTTCCTACGCACGCATACTGGACAACTTTTCTGCTACATTCATCAATGATTTTAGTGAAATTATGTTCATTTTTTACTGAATTTTCCCTACTGATACTCCAGCGGAAGTGGACTCTGTCACTGGGACAGAGATTAGAGAACTGATTTTGCATTGAACGCATAAATGTTCACGCGACTCAAACTAGACTCAGTCACCGATTCATACCTGGTCTGACTTTATGCTTATTTCGTCCCCTAAGCAGTGAGCACTGAAGTCAGAGGCTGCTAAACGATGGGAGAAGAAACGTGTTGAACTAGTCAACAGATTGGTGGTAGAATCATTCATTCCAAAATACTTTAAAACAAGCGCTGTGTGCTAGCCACATAAAACAACCCTAATATGAAAAAAAACAATTGATCGAGCTCAATCTGTGACAAATAATTTTATTGTTGTCCAGTTTAACACGAGATATCCTAACGAACCACCGACGATTGGGACAGCAGTGCACAAGATAAAAAGGAAGGAACGGGACAATTTTGACCGCACAATAACGATGTCTCACTTCGCCGAATTATGATGGCTAAAAGAACTTCCTCGACAAGCGACGTTAGTGATCTGTTGTTAGAAAAAGTTGAAGGGAGACTAGAGTGGAACCTGATGTGAATGTATGAGCACCTGCAATAGTGGATTTGATCATGGATGTCCTTGGGCTTCCGACTTGTGGATCTTCGCATCAGTCTGACAGATGGCTAGATATTAAGCGATATGGCTAAGTCAAGCAGCAGCACGCAAGCAACCACTCACTTTCCTTAAGCACAAAGTTTTCGTATTCCATACCACTATCTAAGAAACAGCAAATAAATGGCCGAAAGGTAGCAACGAAAACCAGAATACGGACGTGTACGTTGAGTAACAGAATATTATTACTTTTAAAGTATATCGCATAAGTGACTCATTAAAAAGATTACTTATTTCACAGAATCATTGATCACTCAACAACAAGATGTGGTCAGGAAAGAACTCTCCAGACTTGTCAACAACGGGAAAGGTTCAAGAAATAAGATTTTTGACTTTTGAACCTATCTAAGCACTATCTCGGCACTATTTTTATCCCAATCATACCTATTTTCGTGAACTATTTTTCCATGAAAGTTTAATCCCATCACATAATTCACCAGTAGTTTTCAACGAAGCTTGGAATTCGACAGGCAGAAAATCGGTGCGTGCATTCATTCATCGACTTAGAGTAATTAAATTTGCAAGAACTGCCTAAGATTGGGTGGAAAAATATATTCACAATCCTATTAAGGAAACTTCCTAGCTGAACATACGATTGAACCATAATGAGTACTGGTATTTTTTGGGTGTCCGCCTCTGTGGGTGGTGGGGCAACCAGTTCGGGAGGACGGTTGGACTGCGATTCGAAATGCTCTGCCCAGCGCTCTAGACGTCGTTGATGGTCGTATATTGGTATGCCGTCTACCACACAGATTACTTCACTAACGCACTGTCCATTACACTCACTGTCCGCTGCGATTCCCGAAGAAGTGTGAAAGATTCGAGTTAGGTCACAACGGTGTAAATTGGCCGAGCTTATTGCGTTTCGGATGGTTACCCATTGTTCAAAACTCCTTGTTGTAAAAGTTAGCCTTGTGGACAACTCGTTTTGACAGTCGACTTACAGAGTTGGGTAGGAAAGCTTGAGAAAGTTGGGCTGTTTGCCTCCTTTTTTGTACACTCAAAAAATTGCATAGAAATCTTGGCATGATCGGGGTACAAGCGACTAGATCAGCACGAAGGAATTTTTCACAGACCCTCCATCCATAATTACTTTACTTTTACTTTTGAACGACAAACTGTGTATTGCGGGAGGATAAGTTGGCTTCTTTGATGTCTCTAATGATGGCAGCCGTGCGTAACGATCGACAGCAAGGTTGGCACAAAGTGAGACCCAGTTCTGGTTCCAGTTACGAATTCCATACACGGATTGGAGGCCCAGTAATTCCAAATCTGTCTTGATCGTACTACCCCAAGTCTTCAGTTGACGACCGAGTCGGCAACACCATCGCACGGTGCAGGAGCTACAGCCTGCCACGAGAGTCGAGTGTCGGATCTTCAGAGCACTTGGCCCAAACCATTGAACGCGCCCGTCTTGTAGCATTTTCGAAAGCTTGTCGATGTTCGAGCAGCACCGTCGAACCTCATCATTGGAAACCCGATCTCTCCAATTTACTCTCACTTGCGGTGTAAGTACCAATGATTAAATACCGTGATCTTCGTGATATTTTGTACTCTTAGCAGCTACGTTTCACAACCATAAGTGAGGATGGGGCGGATGGAAGCCTGATAAACCTGAAGCTTGATGACTAGGCTTATTTCGCATCGGTTCCCCAACGGTGAGGAGTTGCAGGAATGCTCTTCTAGCTCCATCTACACAGTTGGGTTTTCATCCTTAGCCTGACCGTCTGGTCGGATTGTAGATCCAAGATGCTTGAGAACTTGAGTCGATTCAACAAGCTCCCCATTAATCGAGAGGGCTTGTCTTAGCAGAAGTTTCGGTCGCAAATGTCTTGGTTGTACCCTCTAGCTCAATGGCCTGGACATGCTGGTTAGTGCGACTGACAATAGACTGGAGGTTGTTCGCAAACTAGAGGCCTGCAATCCATGTACCAAGCTGCACTTCGGGATAGCCGACGAATTCATGCCACACTATCTAATCTACAGCGTAATTAAATAACCCCGGCGATAGGAGACAACCTTGCCTGATTCCAAAGCTCAGTGTAAACTCAGCTCATCATTATCATCATCACTGTACAGCGTAATAAAGTGAAGTGAACTTTACTGATTTTCAGTGTCTCGAACCATGCGGTTACGGAGTCTTTTGGACCACAAACCGAAGGACGAGAGACACCTACTCTATCTAATCGCTCGGTGCATTTCTTCATATCTTGTCTCCACGTCATTTGCAGGCCTCCACGTGGCTTTCTACGGTCTGCAACAGCCACTGCAAATAAGGCGCGCTACGGTATGCGAGCGTCGGACATATGCAAAACGTGTCTTAACCAACGAAGCCTATTGAGCTGAATTATATGCGATAGCGAGCTCTTGTTTGGTGCGTTCCCAAACACTCGACGACTTACTTCTAAATTACTAACCCGCTCACTCCATCCCGATTGGGCCAGACTACGTATGCATCGATTGTCGAAAACTGCTAAACGACGGATGTCTTCTAGCCGCAAATCCAAGGTCTCACAACCGTAAAGCAGAACTAATCGTAATGGCGTAGGATACGCGACTTTTCAATTTCAGTGAAACGTCACATCGCCGCCAAAGGTGTTTGAGTCCTGCGTACGCTGCTCTTGGAAATACGGGTGGTTATCTCCTTTGATGCGCTACCGTCATTGGTCACGCAGCTATC